AAATTAAAAGTCATTTTTAAAATGAATATATTATACAAAGGTGTCCGTTAAAATCTAATGACTGTAAAATAAAGTATAAATTACGCCAAGAATTACCGTATATGTCAATATTTTTTGTGCATTTGGGCCAATTTGAGCAATCTCCTTTCCGCATCGCGACTTTGGTAATCCAATATTCAAACATTTTGCTAGAGATATCGACAGGTAATTTAAAAATTTAATGCCAATTTTTAAAATTCAAAGTTAGCGTTATCGCTTAACAAATAGAAATAAAGTCCTTTGCCTTCGCTCCCGACTCCAGTCACATTAATTTCATCAAACGGGGTGTAAATCTAGTTCTATTGTATTAGGCTTTATTACAAAACGTAGGCTAAAAGTTAATCATCATCAGCAGCCTATTAATGTCCCCACTGCTGGGGAACAGGCCTTCCCTATGGATGGAATAGGGAGCCATGACCACGTGGGCCCAGTGCGGATTGGCGGGTGCTAACGACTGCATACGCAGCCGGGACCAGCGGCTTAACAGGCCTTCCGAAGCACGAAGGAACTCAAGATAGAAGATTTTTGGTCACCCATCCAATGACCGACCACTGCGAAAGTTGCTTAACTTCAACGATCGCAGCCGAACGCTAACCACCCGCGTCATCGAGCTCCTCGAAAGTTAAACCTAGACTAAAAGTGATGCTGTCACTTTTGTTTGCTTAAAAGAAGACAGAAATGACTACTCGTAGGTTCAAACTAAGTCCGCGTTTTGGAATAAGATGGTTGGATAGTGTTAAATTAAATAACACCAACTAACTCTTATCTTGCAATACGCCATATTATCCACTCCTATATCACGTAACTAAAATTGACGACCTCCGTGACCGAGTGGTTTGTACGCCGGGTTTCATGGCGTCGCCGACTCGAGAGGGGGTTCAAATCCTGGTGGGGGCAGATTTTGTGTGATGAACACGAGCATTTGTACTCCAGTCATGGATGTTTAATATGTATTTCTATATAAATATACTTATATATGTAAAGTATATGTATTCTATCCGTTACTCTAGTATCCCATAACACAAGCCTTATAGTACTTACTTTGGGGCTAGGCTAATTGGTGTGTGTTGGAAATATTTATTTATTTATAAATCAATACAAAATTAATGCGGCGATTGACAATCCAAACTCATTTTAAAATATTTGTCGTATCCAAAAACCCGCTTTCAAGATTTATGATCCAATTTTAAAGATTAGCGAATATAACAAAAGCCATATTTTCATCAGGCATACGAGTAAAATTTTTACTGAGTTTTTGCTATGCTCAGTTGTTAGCAGTCGTAACAATGTTGGTACGTACTAACCCTGCATAATCCGGGTGGTCCATCATTTGAAGTAATATCCCTAGCCCCGACACGTAACGTAACGCAACCTGCACAGATACTGCCCGCGTAGGCTTTACGTGACGTACACTTGACTACGTTAATCCCGCTCGAGTAACGAGCAAATATTATTTTAGCACATTCGGAGATAATATCCGTGCCCCTTTAGGGATATTGGAGGTTGTTCTATACTTAGTAAGTACCCACCGTGTTTTTGGTTATAAGTATAGACTATACGTATTTTTTTCGTTTTTAAGAAATTTGTATTTTTTACACCTAACAGTAATTGATAAAGATATATTTACACAATAGTTAAATATAAATCATTCCACCCACGTACATTAAAACCCGAATGCAAACAATAATTTTTACCCATATACATTATATTTCAACCTTTGACCTGGAATGAAATAACTCAAAGTCCACATTAAGTTATTGAATATCCCAGGTCATGGTTGAGTGTACGAAGCGCTGACAACAGACATACGAGTAGATAGGAGGAAGACATTAATTGTTCATTTATCTTACACCCGGGGTACAATGACAGTAGCAGATAAAACTAGACCTTGGTAGCGTAGATTTATAATTAACTATCTACGTAGGTATCTTATCTTCACGCTTAACTATCTCTCCGGGTAGGGTAGGTAGACAGAATTAAGGTCATAGCGCACCTGACCCACCCGGCACCCGACCAGCACCTCCTCGACACGCGCGGTTGAGATTCTTTGTATTAATTTCTATGGAATGTGCTCACTACACCAACTCCGTACCGTGACCGCCTCGCCTCGCTCGCAAGTTGACCGCGTGCGGGTAGACTAACTTCTTCTTCTTCTCGCGGGCTGCAGGCGCGTGGGGAGATGGTTCTAGCTTCATGCTATTTCCATTGTGGCGGGATCGCACCTCATTTCGAAATTAGGTGATCGTTTGGGTCGAACTCTCCCTTACTCACAGCTTCACACACCGCCCTCGGCACGGTCCAGCCCATGGGTGTGACCAATGAGGGTGGCATAGTGCGGAGCGACCTGCGAGCAGGCGGTACAGAATTGTGGGTAGTCGAATGGACATCGTGTTGAGGCGGGTAGTCGAAGTCAGTGGGCGTTGCTTGTGTCACTATCGATGGGGGTGTTTAATTTTGGTTGCAGTTTGAATGTGGTGGTTGTATTAATTCTCTTATATTAAGTAAGGCTCTGTTTCGGCGGCCGTGGAACCTTTCTTGTGCGGGTGCGATGTTTTGTAGGTGTTCAGGGTCGGCGTTGTCAGCGCGCGTAAACATGTTTCGAGTGAGGCTTTCAATGTGGTCATCAATGGTGTCCATCTTGAGAACCCTGTATATCGTGGTATTTCTTACATACCGTGGAGCTTTCAATATGTGACGGAGAATCTGATTTACTGCATTCTTAGCCGCTTTTTGAGCGCTTCTGGGACTAAGGTCAACCAGGCCCGGGCCGCGTTAGTAATAATGAGGCGGATAAAGGTCTTGTAAATACCGATACTGGTTCGAATTGAGAAGCTGCTGTTTAGCACGGGCTGCAGGCGGACTCTCGTCGACTTTGTTTAGGTCATAGTTTCAGTAACTTGGTGTGTCATTTTCAGCCGCTGGTCGACGGTTTCTCCTAGATACTTAACTGTGATGAGCCAGGTGATGTATTCAACTCGAATCCTGAGGGGAGGTGGGATGTTCCTTCCGTCTTTCCTACGTTGATCGACATGCGCCATTGGTCGAGCCATTTTGTGAGGGAGTCCAACGTAGTTTGCAATTTTGCTACAGCATGGTTTGGTCGGGTGAAAGAGGCTACGTAGGCGGTGTCATCCGCATAATGTCCAAGTTTGACACCGTTTGATGCTAGGATGTCATTCGTAAAGGCTGAGTAGAGCGCTGGTGATAAGAAGCTTCCTTGGGGCACCCGGAGAGAATTGGACGCGGTGAGGATAGACGTCCCTCCACTGCGACGGTGAAGCTTCTGTCTTCTAGAAAAGTCGCAATTACCTTTAGTAGACTCAAATGGTGTACAAATAATAAAACTAAAAAGCCATGTAAATCACTAAAGAAGAGGCCAATATACAACAGAGGACAACTTTCTTCGTACCAATAATGATTATAGTAATAAATATGTACCATCGAACAAATTGATTCCATATAGGTTGTCCGATAATTAGCTTAAAATTGCAAACTAGACATTTTTTTTCCTTTAAAGAATGTTTAATTACACTAAGGACATACTAATAACAAGGAAGAATTTCGGATTACTTTCAAAATCGTAAATATAACAGAAACTCTTTCAATTTCTTGACATTAAAAAACTCTTTGATAGACTAATATGTAAATCCTAAATCTATGATCATAACTTCCTTTAACATTACGTCACAATAAGCAAAATTTTAACAAGTTTTTTTCCATGGAAACATACAAGCTAAAATGTACCATATTGTTTAGCAATGACTGTAAGAAAATAAGATTATCGTAGGGCAGAATTCACATTGGCTGATAGTACCTACGTAAAGAATACGTTTAAACTAAAATCGCTTTTCTTTATATTTTCACTTTAGAAATTAGTTCAATTTACCTAGTTTCTATTATAAGTAAAATATAAAATGAAAGTTCGAAACTGTTCATTTGCTCACAGTGTTGATTCAAATAAAATTATTTTCCTCTTAAATCATCGTAGTGTGGTTGTGTTTACCAAAGTTAAAACCCAAGTGTTTAAAATATGTGTGTATATAGTGATTTGTTAATTACGGACTTTGAAAGCTGCTTGCCTAGGCAAAATAATGTGTTTTAGTAATGAATAAGTAATTGTTATTTTTCAATTAATAATTGCCATAGGACGTTATTTAAAAGCTTATAATTGATAGTCAATGGTAATTACCTAAATAATTAGATTTCTTAAAATATCTTAAAAGAATGTAAACTAAATTAGTTCAGCAAATTAGTTACTTTTAATAAGTTATTTCCCTTTAAAAAAATAATTATGTACTAAGAAATACCTTTATTCAGACTTCTTTGAAGTCAAATTACAATAATGACTGAATGCGAACTCATCACTTCCAGTGGTTTCTGCAACTGCCCCTAAGGCCCTTATCTGTATAGGCAAGATTCAAATATCATTCGCAACCTCTTTTTTAATGGCGACATAAGATGAAACGACGATGAAAAGATACCTAAAGTTATGTTTCATTTCAGAATTCTCATATTTGGCAATAAAGTTTCACCTAAGTGGCCATTTTATACAAATCTGTCAAAGGCATTTCAATACAATCAAATGAAACATGACTGAACTTAACATTTTAAGATTGGACAAATGAAACATTATAATTGAACCATTTAAGAAACATGCAACTTCGCTATTTTAAGGTCTCCGCTACCTTAAACGGGAGCACGAACCCAAGGACCGTATATAACTTCCTTGCACGGAGCGGACGTCTGCTCCTCATGCAGTTTCATATCATTTCCTATTGCGACGGCAAACCCGCGTCACGCAGCACTGCTCTATGCTCTATGAATTTCATGAAACAAACACGTGGAGCGGACGTCCACTCCGTGTTTTCGATGAGGTTTGCGCACGTCCTTAGACCCTCCGACCACAGCATACATTCATGCATAGATAACACAAAGAATTACAACATTTATTAAAATTCCAGGTCCGCAACGCCACCGCCGTGTTCATTATGAACCTGTCGTGTTCGGACCTGCTGTTCTGCTGCTTCAACCTGCCCCTGGCGGCGTCGACCTTCTGGCGGCGGTCCTGGGCCCACGGCAGGATCCTTTGCCGCATGTTCCCGCTGGCCAGATACGCCCTCGTCGCCGTGTCCCTCTTCACTGTGCTAGCTATCACTATCAACAGATATGTCATGATATCGCATCCAAGACTTTATCCCAGGTAAGAGATTTTTGACTTCTAAATTTTCCACATTAGCAGCAGAGTTGACTTTAGGATCTTAAGTAAACTTTTTTGTTTGCAGATTATACAAAAGGCGATTTCTAGCTGTGATGGTCGCAAGCACGTGGGTCTTTTCCTTTGGAGCATTGATAGCGACCTGGCTAGGGAAATGGGGTCGCTTCGGCCTGGACCCGACTATCGGATCATGCTCCATACTACCCGACAAAAATAATAGATCTCCAAAAGAGTTCCTGTTCGTTGGAGCTTTTATGTTGCCCTGTCTAGCTATAGTTATATGTTACGCTAGAATATTCTGCATAGTAAGAGAGGCGGCGAGAAAGTCGAGAGCACCCGCTAGAGGGCGACCTCGACCTGGACTAGAAGACTCCGCCGTTGGTTCGGCGTCGACGGCCCTAGAAAGATCTCCGGGCCCTGAAAATGGAATTAATCATGTCGCTCCACCTCGGAGGGCACTATTAGCTCCCCCTGTTTTACATTGCCCACCTACACCTGGTCCAGAAAGATCATCATCGTCTGGTGTAGACACACTAGATGGTCACGACGAGGAATGCGCCCTCGACGCAAAACCTCGAACTCCCAGCGGTGGCGATACCGCTAAAAGACTTCGACAAGCAGCCGTTGTACTAAGAAAATCCCCTGCTTCAGTCAGACCACCACGTCTCACACCGAAGGACAGAAAGCTACTAAAGATGATAATGGCTATAATGCTTTCATTCTGGGTGTGTTACTTGCCCATTACATTGACAAAGATTTTTAGAGAGTTTACTTCACACCCAGCTGCAAACATAGCGGGGTATATTTTGATATACTTGACGACGTGCATCAACCCTATTATATACGTGGTCATGTCGAGTGAGTATCGCCAGGCCTACAAGAACCTGCTGATGTGTAGAAGATGGGCGTGACGTTCGTCCGGCGATGGCGCCTCTGAGAAGCGCCCGCCGTGACTAGTCGTCAATGACGGAAGATCTTGAGTGACATGTGAAGAGAAACACAGTTTTCTCAAGCTACAAACATTTGATTTGTCTCTGTCTTTCGTGTAATTAAAGACTACCTTACTAGTGAGCGTTATGTTGGTGTATAAACGTTCGATCGAGAACCGTCCGTGTGAGTGCTGCTATAAAAAGGATGTGAGATAATTATGGGATTTTTATATTAAAATAATAGAATAGCGACAATTGTGTACATGTAACTGATGTATACGTTTAAACGTAGCATTTATAAAGTTTAATATTCGTGCAATATCGTTATTTATTGCTCTACTTTTAACATTACTGTATAGACTGTTGTACTTGAACGGATAAAATATTATAGTGAGTAAACTAACCGTTATCGAGTTTGAAAAATGTTACTCAGGTTTTGTGATAACATTGATATTTGTCTAGTATATTTATATTACGATTGGCAATCACCTTAAATTGACTAAATAGAAATGTAACTTTCGTTTGTAATTGCTTAGCAATAAAAATGGCAAGGACCAAGGAGAATGGTACAATAATGTTGGAAAGCAATAAGTTAGTATTTATTAAATTTTACAAAAATCTCTACCGCAACCAGGCTCTCTGCCGGACCACTTATCAGTACTACGTCCGTTCACACGTAAATTGACTCATCAACCATTAAGGAAAAATCATAATAAACAGTAATCATCGCAAAGCCACCGAAGCGTTTAGACCAATTCATTTGTTAAGGGTTTTCTGTTGTCGAATGACGTGATCGAGTGAGGAGTGTCCTGTCCAGTGATTCGGAAATGGGTGATACAGTGAACTCTACGAATGTGTCCTTTGTGAGAAGTAACAATAGTGTGTTGGGTTTGGACGAGTATGGCTCCGACGCGGCGCTGGCGGCCGTTGAGCTGTTCGCCGATTACCCAGAAGCGCTGCTGCAGTTTGCTGGCGCGTGCTGCGTGCTGTTTATGCTGATCGGCATTCCCGGCAACTTGATTACCATCATAGCTCTCGCGCGCTGCAAAAAGGTTAGTTTATCATTCAAAATGTCGTCTAAAATTATTAATTACCGTTATGCTAATTAATAATTTTAGACGACCTCTGTGGTGTAGTGATCAAAATAGAAGTAGTATAAGAGTGTTCTCGGTTGGTTTATTAGCTGCCCAAGAAGATAATCTTGTAGTATTGTACACCGATCGTCAAGGTGTCGCCCATTCTAAAGTCCTGGGTTCGAATCCCAGCGGGACATATGTTTATGTGGTGAATACGAGCATTTTTACTTAAGTCATGGCTGTTTGTACAATATTTACACAAAAATAGATATACCTTTCTTTGTTTTATTATAATGTATTTCAATTCGTTACACAGACTTACAGTGAACAGGGCTAGGCTCATTGACGTTTAAAAATATCTTTTAATTAGGTTTTTATTGAGACCTGTTTACTGTTATTTAGATTATGTTTTGTGAAAATTAAAGTTGGATCTGAAATTTATTTCGCTTCGCATTTGACTATGAAACAGAATTTTTGAATTATGGCTTTGTTAAAAACACGAATCGAACTCAGTTCGAAGATAACGTTATCTAAGTTAAATATCCGAAACTAAATACGACGGCCGCATAAATCGCATGGTTCTTTTTATAAACCGAAAAAATACATAACTTTGATCAATTGCAATACTTAGATTTATTGAGGTCGTTTTATGGAATATGTTTTAATCTTCATCATCATCATCAGCCTATTCATGTCCCCAGTGCTGGGGCACAGGCCTTCCCTATGGATGGAATAGGGAGATTGAGCCATAACCCACCACGCGAGCCCAGTGCGGATTGGCAGGTGCTAATGACTGCAGATGCAGCCGGGACCAACGGTTTAATATGCCTTTCGAAGCACGGATGAACTCGAGATAGAAGCTTTTTGGTCACCCATCCAATGACCGAGCACTTCGAAAGTTGCTTAAATTCAACGATCGCAGCCGAATGCACTAACCACCCGTGCCATCGAGCTCCTCATTCATTTTTTAATCTTAATTCAACAAATTTCAACTTCTTTTAGGGTTCCGTAGTCCTGACAAGGAACCCTTATAGTTTCGTCATGTCCGTCTGTCCGTCCCCGGTTTTGCTTGGAGACTATTAGCACTAGAGAGCTGTAATTTTGTGGAGATATGTATATCAATCACGCCGACAAAATGGTATTTTTTTTTAAATATATTTTTTTAGGGTTACATGCATTTATGCCTACATGTAACCTGGGGATGTTATTTTTTCATCTAGCCCATCGTATGGGATTTCGTTGAATAGGTCCTTTAAAATTATTAAGGAGTTTCTAGGACTATTTTTCTATTTAGGGATCCGTTTGCGAAACATTGAACTTTAAAGTGATAATTTTTGTTCGAGTAGAGCGTCCTCTAAAAGCTAAACCATTGGCATGAAAAACCTAGAAAAAATCATGATAATAGTACTTTTCATAACCTTTTAAGGATAACTACAACTGTTAAGATAAATTTGTTAGTTTAAGAGTAATAGTTTTTCAACTTTTTTAAAGAAAATTTCTTAGGTACCTATTGAAAATTCCTTAAAATAAAACATTGATAGTGACATAGATGAAGTTCGTGTAGAGTAAAACCTTGCATTGCAACAAAATCTAAAAAAAACGTCGGGTTGCACTCCGTGAGTGCCGGCAGAAGTGAAAACTTGAATATTAACGTTGTGCATTTTTGATATTTTGGAATGGTTAGGGAATAATTTTGCACGAATCGCTTTAATTATCAGTATAAAAGTACTATCATTTATGTGGTAGAATACAATATTTATTTATTGCGCTATCGTACACAAACATGACAATTTATATTACATTGAAAAGTTAATCTCGCAGAAAAATCAACTTACATGAATCACAATGTAAAATACATGAATCACATTTAAGCGCACCTAGCGGCATCTATTGTAAAAAAATGCATTTTCTTCGCAATAAAGCTGCCACCTGGACGTCATACACACATCAAAAGTGTCTAGGGATCAACATATATTTTTGCAATAACTTTTCTCCTGATTGATATTAATTAAAATTTTCTTTAAGGATTCATCAAATAAAGTGTTTTCGTTTGTCACAGTAACGATAAACCAAGTCACCTTTGCATTAATAAAGAAATTTGCCATTTTCCTAATAAAGGGATTTTTGACATTTGAACCACTAACACAAAAGTTCGAAAAAAAGAATGAAATAACAGTTTTCTCTAAAATTTTATTGGGTAACTTAAACAATTAATAATCCGTATTTCTACCGCGAACACTAACAACACAAGAACATCGGTTTGGCATACTCAAAATGAGTTCATCCAAATCACGCTGTGGAATGGCCGCCCATGTTCGTTGCAACAACAAAAAAAGGTCTTCTTGCGACTGGATACCCTCCATATTCGGCAGAGCTCTTCTCTGTAGCATATCCCATGCATGCTCAATCGGGTTCAAGTCTGGCGACTGAGCAGGCCAGGGCAGGACATTGATGTTAGCTGCGGCGAGAGTCTGTCTTACAACTCTTGCGGTGTGCGGTCGTGCATTATCATGCATTAACTGAAATAAGGGACCGATTTGCACTTGTAGAGGAACGATGACGTCTGATACAATCGTCTCAGCATAAATTTGAGCGTTGAGGTTGCCTCTGATCCAAATCAACTCAGTTCTTCCGCCGATCCAAATACCCGCCCATACCATGATGGTTCCACCACTATAAGGATGGACTTCCTGGCAGGATTTTAATCGCTGTTGGCGTCCAGGGGTTCTCCAGTGTCGTATACGTCTTGTATCCGGTCTCATACCAAAACGAGACTCATCAGAAAAGCACACGAAACGCCATTGTTCTTCTGCCCAATTTCTGTGTTCAAGAGCCCATTGATATCGAATCCTACGATTGTGCATTGCTATAGGTGGTACCCGTAGCGGTCTTCGGGAATGAAGGTTCACTTCATGCAAGCGGTTTCTGACTGTTTGGTCGCTAATTAAGTTCCCTGAAGAATGATGAAGCCTCACGGCTAACTTCATGGCGGTTATTGTTGGAGCTCTTCGAGTTAAGATTTGAATGTATCGGTCTTGTCTCCGTGTGGTGCAGCGATACCGTCCTCCATGGCGCTCAGCCACGGTACCAGTGCTTCGGTATCGTGTCCAAAGTCGACTGATAACACTCTGACTTGTATTCAGAGCTAAAGCCACAGTACGTTGCCGGGAACCAGCTTCTATCATTCCCACGGCTCTGAGCATTTCTTCCCTGCTTAAATGACGTCGCCGCTCCATAATAACGTTGGTTTTAATCAGTAGTAGGGAAACAGTAGCACTAATAATGTCTTCAATGCGTTGTATGTTTTTATAGGGAAAATATTGACAGCTGATTTTCATCTTTTACTCGAATTTGATTCACAGTTCCTGATTCAAATTATGAAATGCACCAAAAAGGATCCATATAAATTTATAAAATCATAAATTTATTACTAAGCCACATCTCAATCTCAAGAAATCCGCATAAAAATGCTTGATCCCTAGACACTTTTGATGTGTGTAGTTAGAGACTTATTATTATAATACGATAAAATAAAATATTACTATGTTCCGTCCAATATATTGAAAGTCAACAATTTTATTGTTTTCGTCTTACGAATTTTCGATCAGGCCACTTGTCCTGACGGGAGTTTAACATTTATTTACCAATTACAAAAAAAGTGTACATCGCCGCTAAAGAAGTTTTCACTTCAAAAACAATTTCAAAACCACAATAAAATATTATTAATTCCACAACGCTACAATAGAAATCTCGTACACTTTGATATGAGATTTGAGCAATGTTGACTGTTTGTGTCATGTACACAAACCAAAAATATTATCAGAAAGTATATAAATGTCCAGTCCACAAAGGATTGACTCAGTAAGTACAGCTTCATTATGTCATCACAAAGTGTACGAGATTTCT